AACGACACGGGGTATTGGCCCCGAAGTAACGGTGTTTGTTCGTCGACATGTGAATAAAGAGGGCTGCATTCTCTTTTACAGTCATGTTAATTTGGTCTGTTGTGCATATGGTTGAGACTATTGTTTTAAAAATGCAAAGAAGGGTCTGCAATATCCAACTTAAGAGCACAACGGTTTTATTTTCAAATTCGCGAATGAAGATCAGGCTCATGTGCACGTTATTAACCGAACCATAAAGAACAACGTATAAGTGATTTACTTTCACCACTTAGAATTATGCAATTTGGCTTACCAAATCAAATAACATGGAGGTCATTTGAGGCATTCTGGAGAAAAATGGTGTATGAATGAGAAATATTGTTGATCAAAGGTCATTTGAAATTCGAGCTTTCGAACAATAATGTATTGTGACGGGAGACATAAGTGACTAGAGGTTGTAGCTGTAGGCTCCATCAGGTTTTAATCAAATTTTTCACAAAAATTAATTAAAGTTAGGGCTTAAAATACTATCAATGGTAACTAAGTGGGCTTAAAGAAAGAAACCATATAACATTAAATTTCGGATAATTACTTTTACATAATTATAACTAATTTAAGATATAATATGCGCAAAGTGTAAGAATGTATTCGTGGTTGTAATTTCTGAGTGAATTTGTCCATATTCCTCAGAGAGATTCATTGGCCTGAAAGTCTGCGATTTCGAATCCTTATTTAGTTAAGTATATTCGAGTAAATACTTAAATAAAGCTTTCGGTTACATTTAAAAAAACACTTCTGTTTCGAATGAGCTATAATGTACAAGACCAAAGAAAAAATGAAGCCTATACCTACATCCAAATGCATCAACTTGAATCTTGTAGTAATTTCAAATGGTTGAAGGACAGTGTGAATGATCAATCGTCTTCCGATGAAATAGACTAATGTATCTTTTAATGAGGCACTTTCACACCAAAAGAAAGTAGCAACAAAGATGAGTGAGATTATAGGAGGGTTGAAATTTCACCATATACATAGAAAATTTTTTGAACGACATTTTTCATTAGATGGAATTTTCGCCTTTAGGTTAATTCTAGTTATACTTCAGGCACTAGATA